GGAAGAATTTAAGCACGAACAAAATAAAGGTGAGGAAAATATGTAGAATCAGTTTGGCCAATTCTAGTTCCAGACTTTGAAAAAAAAAAAAAACGTTTTAAAGTGCAAAGAAGAATTTTGTGTAATCAGTAAGAAGTACAGTGGAGAGCGGGTGCGAGAGTGGGAGACAGAATACCAGATACAAAGGAAAGGTATGCTTAGGTAATCTGCCTCCAGATCTCTGTGGGTCAACCCACTGTCACAATACACGCGACCACGGGACCATGTTTGTTGGGGTTGAACAGTGGGGGCGGCAGCGGCGGCAGCAGCCAGGGTACTTAGTGGTCAAAACAGTTATATACGAGGACCGTAAACACCAACCTAGATGGCTACCCCTGACTCAGGTGTGAGTTGACATTATCACCTGCCTTAACCGGGTGAGGAAGTCTTGACATGGTAGATAACTTATCGTGTTAGATTTTTAGCTCTGTTGCATGCAGATGGGTCATTAGGACGCAGGTCACCCTAATACCAATATCAACTTGTTATTTGTTACAGTACGGGTTTATTTTTTACCAGGAAGATGGACCATTTAGAGGTGTCGCCCTTACAATATAGTTGAAGCCAGGTAAGATGGTGGTCTAAGAACGCGTACGTTTATTGAATGGAAAACTGTCTCGCGTTAATAAGACGGAGGATCGAAACTTCAAAACTCCTTCCACTGAATCACTCACATGGGTGTAGCGTTACTTACAAGATTCGAACCCATGTATTGAGAGTGGCATAGCTTCCCATTTTGACGCTTTATACTACTCATTCATAGTCCCTGAGAAGCTAAATAGTGTAAAGTTTTAGTTATCCGGAATGCGAAAAGGATTAGAGTCGTGGTTAGCAGAAATTTAAAACCAAGACGAGAGCGCATGAGTGTCTGAAATAAAGCAAATAGGAATCTTGGCTTCATACCAAGAAGTATAAATGATACAAGTTCTAAATTTATACTTTAATTTTATGTATTTATGGTAAGGCCTTATGTATGCTGCCTTGCTTAGTTCTGGCCTTTATTTTCTAGAATAGACATAAATGTGCTGGAAGATATGGAGAGAAAAATGAGGAAGCATATCCCATTCATCAGAAATCTTTCCAACGAAGATAGGCTGAAGGCACTAGAAAGAAGCAGAATTAATGGAGGATACGATTGAAATAGATTAAACAATTCTTAGTTTTCTGACATAGGTGATATGTTATCCTTAGACACTCGTGCAGTAGACAGGACAGAATTTAAACCTTACATTTAATATGAAGTAATTTTTCTAGGTTTAAAATAATAGTCTGCTTTTTTTCTTTTTTTTTTGCCATCTGAGGCATGTAGTAATCTCTCACGTGACGTCTATCAGAAATATCACACTACACTAGTAATCAGTATGTTATCTAGTGTGAGTCATGGCCGAACTCTCTGTAGGGCTGCCTGCTAACAGATAACTCGGTAATAAAACCAACTAAATATAAACTGTCATAAAATAGTTAGATGGTTTGATAGGCTTAATGCCTATAGGCATTAAACCTATCATATCAAGGTGTAGAAGGCACATTTACTACGAGGTTTCAATCAACACTGGGTTGTCTCAAGTACTTAAAAATTCCCAGTGTTAGCTGCAGCGTTTTGCTAATAAAGAACGCCTTTACAAGTGTATCTTTTACACCAACTGACGACATATTGCCTTTGTCTCCTCCCTCATATATTCAAGGTCATTTAAAATGCTAATAATACTAAACACGTAACATATCTTAAGAAACTGATAAAAAAAATTCTCTACCCTTTAGAGGAAGTAAATATAATATAGTGTAAAGGATACCGCCCAGCGGGTTAGATAAAATAAGAGAATATTAATCTTGAGATGAACACAGGAGATGACAATAAGACATGACAAATTTTCCCTCATGAAATCTCCTGAGTTTAATGACTGAGTGACGGAAATGTTACAGGAAAGAAGTTTTATAGACAGTATTTTCCTCGACTGTATGAGAGCACCTGTCACATTACTACACAGGCGGCTTCTGTACAAATTGAAGGATAATTTATTATGGGTCCCCGAAAGGGCAGTCTTTTAAGGCTGCCTGATTTTTTTTCCTTTTATTTTTCTTCCTCCAGCTTTTCAGTTTTATCTTGCACATAACTCGAAAATGTGTCATCCAATCGGCTTCAAATTTTCAACACTTGTGCACGGTAACGAGGATCAAATTCTTGGAGCACTTGGCATGTTCACGTGCCCTGTGACGGAAGTTGTTGAACCCGTTCCCAGTATCCTGGAATTGCTCGAATAACAACAAAAATCCTCAGTGGCGGGGCTTCAAACGTTCAGAAAAGATGCCAAAAAAATACAATGGCGAAGAGTGTAGAATTGGTGCAGATTTGATGATTTTATGTGTAAAATAGTATGAAATTCTTATTTCCGTTAAATCACGATAAATAAATTTCAACTGATCTCTTCTGAACATCTTCGATATTTAAGGGCTGCTGCATCTTAGTACCTGCTAAGTTTTATTTTTATTGATGCAATAAAATAATAAAAAAACTGAAATCGTTGAAACTGCAGAAATAAGTTAACAATGATTTTATTGGGTTTTTATAGGTTAACTAATCTTAATGCTCTTTTATGTGCCTATCACGTCTGTTTGTCCTTAAAACTATTCTTAAGCACTGGATTGATTTTAGTCTGTTTTGGAAGAAACTGGAAAAAAAATTAATATTGCTTTTACTGGTCTCTTTGAAAGGTTTAAATGAGACTTGGATCGCATATGTCCTAATTTACAACTTTTATTGAAGAATTTTGGATATTAAGTTTCCGAGTGCTGACTTACGAATGTCCCTTTAAATCTTCAACTCTACTATTTAACCACACTGTCAACTTATACTACACTCTGCACTTTTTCAGTGACGTGAACTGAGGCACAAGAGAGTGGGATTATAGTATACGGGGATTCGTTCATCGGATCGCGCAGCGACTGTAATACACATAGTTTAAGACAACGCACGTTAGGCGAATCTTTCCATCTTGGTGTATGAGAGGCAGTATGGAGCCCACACCTGATCAACTATATACAGTACGTAGAGAATGTGTAAATATTCTGTATAAATTCTGAAGGGTATATTTCTTTCGATGTGTTTGCACTGGGAGAAAAAGTGCTTGTCAACATGGAGAAAGCATATTTCTCAGACTATATAACCTTAGCGTTTACAATAAATTAAATATGCCCATATTCGAGTATTAATGTACTTATGATTGAAGGCGAACAGCTAAAATGCAGCTTTAATGACCCTCGTGTGTCGGTAAGCTTTAGACCCACTTAACCAACCAACCATAAAAAAAAGTAACCAAAGAGATTGGTGCTGAAATCTGAGGTAATGTTCCATGCGAAGAGATCTGCGAAAGTAAAATTAACACTAGACAGGAGGAGCCTCTGTGAAAACATGATCACAACATTTGAAATACAATTCTCGAAAGATCAGATAGCGTGGATAGGGACAGGATGTTTGAAATGTGGAAGAGGAGCCGAGGGATATGTATGACAGCTAAAGATGATGATGAGTCATAGTGGCTTTCCGAGCACGGCCAGAAGCTGTGAATTGACACCCTGCAAACAAATAGGTGAGTACACACACACAGGCATTTGAAGGGAGAAATGACGCTCAGAAAACTCTAGGAGCTTATATCACACCGAACCCATCACACGAAACTTATAGAAACCCAATGATGTCGGCGGAATAAGTTAGGTATATCTTCGAGTACGCAGTACTTGTTTGGAACCCACAACAAAAGAATACATTAAGATAATAGAAAAGGTGCAAACATTTGCAACAAGGATGGTACAAGAGTTGAGAAACAAACTACAAAGAACCCAAGAACTGGAACCCTCGACGTTAAGAATAATTAGGAGAGAGGCGACGTGATCACGACATAGAAAATACTGAGATAAAAGGAGAGGGTAAACAAAGAATGACTGTTTAACCTAGGAGGTACCAGAACTAAGTGACACAGATGGAAGCTGATTACCAAATTGATACGCAGGGACAACAGGAATTTATTTACAGCATCACAGCAGCAGAAAGATACAACAGAATAGGGAACAAAATATTGAAGTTGGAGTGGTTCATGATTCCAAAGAAGCTGAAGCTGAACACCTCAAACTCAAAAAAGTGATCACACACACACACACAACACACACACACACACACACACACACACACACACACAACACACACACACACACACATGTACACACAAACTCACATATACACACAAACATAGACAATAAACAAAGCGTGACAACGCCACACGTCTCGCTTGCCACCAACCAACATGACAATCATGAATACTGAGGTTGAATCCCTGGCGCCTGCCCGATGTCACCTCTGAGTCATCTATCAGACACTTCAGTTCCTGTAGCAAACGCCAAACTCCCCTATCCGTTGTCTCACGCTGCCAGAACATAGTATAATTGGCGATAACAGCTTAATATGTGGTATTTGTGCATCAAGCAGGAAACACCAGCTCCCTGAAATACGATAATGCGTGAATTCTTTATAAATAAACTAAGTTGGGTTTCTTCCTTGGTTGGTCCCACGATGTTTGTTTACCAGCTTGCGCGCCAAATCCTCAACACGTGCGCCTGCTGCTTCCTGATTGGTTGCCTCCCAGAGAGACACAAGCCCCGCCCTTTTCTTTGGTGTTGCCTCACGTCAATAACATTAAATATTTACCATTTTCGTCTTTAATTTTCTGTATTTTTCAAGTATAAACTCTATGTATACGAACATATTATTCCCTCATGTGACTGGGTCTGATCTTTTTAATTTTTATATATTGTTAAGCTACAACAATGAATCAAAATATTGCAGGGTGAAAGTTGTTTGGTGAGATGGGAGACCGGTGATTGGCCAGAGAATGCGCGCGCACTTGTTACTTTCTCAGTCGATGCTGGAACCTGTAACTCGAGCATCCCTCCTCAGTACCCCCGCGGAGGTTACAAGATAAACAGCTGAGAGGACAACAACATTTCTATAATTTCCTCACATAAACATGGCCAGTGTACTTCTACGGGCATGTGCGATGCCGTTTGGCTTTACCAGTGACATGATAGACAGTGACTTTACCTATGAGGGCGAGTGCATTTTCACAGATGAGATGAATTGGCGCACCATCCAGAGATCTAGAGGTTAGTGAACTTTCTCATCTCGTTAGTTATTGTTTTATTGGCAGGATAAGTGTTACAATTTGACGGCATGTTGCTAAGAAGGGTGTTTAACTTGCATGTGTGTGTGTGTGTGTGTGTGTGTTTTATAATACTAGTGTACAGTGTATTTTGGTTAGATACCTGTGCGTTAAATGATATAACAGGTGTAATTACAGGTGTAGTATTGAAAACGTATGCGAGTGTTCCGTAGAATTGTGTGATTTTTTACTATAATGAAGTGGGCCTGTTTAGAATTCCTTGATTAATTCCAACAAAATATCTATCATAATTACCTCTGTTACCATATAAGGCAATTTTTGGTTAAATAAGTGTATTTTTTAAAAGAAGTAATAGTAAAGCAGAAGACTACATTGAAAGGAGTTGAGTCGGGGCGCGTGTTGAAACAAGCTGCAAGTGAGCGCACTGTTTTTGGTCTCGTGAGGAGACTTGTTGCATCCTGTCGACGTGTGCAGGGAAAGTCAACGGTCACCTTGTGATAGCGTTAGTGGTTTATCCCGGTAGTGTGGTATGCTGAAATATCTATCAATTATCTTCTTTTCATCGATACTCCGATCAGTATTATATATATATATATATATATATATATATATATATATATATATATAATATATATATATATATATATATATATATATATATATATATATATATATATATATATATATATTATATATATAATATATATTTATTTATTTATATATATATATATTATATATATATATATATATATATATTTATTAACTATATATATATATATATATATATATATATATATATATATATATATATATAATATATATATTTATACGTTATATATATATATATATATATATATATATATATATATAATATATATATATATATAATATATATATATATATATATAAGTATAGATATAAGCCCTTCGTCTTTGAATATTCGCTTTAAATCTCTTCGTACTGTTTTTACACTATTAAAAATTATGACACTGCAATTTTTTTTCTCCGTGTTGCGGAAGACGTCATTTCCACTATGTTGCAGCTACTGTCAATTACATGGACATCGCCCATCATCGGTGTCATCGTCGTTTTAATGTGTACCTCGCGGGGATGTGTCTGCTTACAGTTAATTTTTTCTTTAAGACTTCACTGAATTTTTTTCTTGTTAAACGTTTGGATTGCCGGAGAATGAACATTAAAATTAACTTGGTGGTTTTAGTACATTTCACTATATAATAATAATAATAATAATATTATTATATTATTATTAATAATATATAATAATATTATTATTATTATTATTTAAATGTAGTATGTATTATGACATCAATGATTTGTTAGTAAACAAAGGCATTGGGCAAGTGGTTCTGCGCACCTCAGGTGACGCAGTTACCACACCCTAAATTATTTCGCACTCCACGCGTCAATGACGTACTTTAGACGCATCAGTGACGCAACTGGAAGATACATTCATACATACATGCACTTGAAACACATTAAAGTAACTCACTGGTCAAAGAGAAGACGATGTTAAGTGCTAGTTAATTTCGTTTTGGAAAGATTCGTTGGGGAAAAAATTAATGCCTCCTGACTCAAGTTTCAGTCATATGACGACCCGCCACTGAAATTTATGCTCATTTGACCGAGGCCTTCCGCTGGCTTCCCAGTCCACCCTTTAAAGATTAACGATAACGTCACTTGGTGTATAAGGATTTTGGTTGCCTAATGGGATTCAAAGCTTATCGAGTACACGAGGGGTCATTAAAACTGCAAGTAATTTGTTCACCACTAGTCAAGAATACTTTAATCCCTTAAATAGCAATTAAAGGAATTACCAAATGCCTCCCTACACAGGTCTTAGTCATATGATAACCCAGCACTGGAGAATTTGGTAACCTGAACGAGGTCTTCGGCTGGATTACCAGTCCACCCTTTAAAAATTAAGATTATTTGTGTAACATACGTATATATATACATTACTTAAAAAATGCAATAAATTATGGAAATTCATATATAAACTTTAATACAAAGAACTTTACATGTTGGACTTTTCCGTTTTCTAGACATAATGTGACATTCTCTTAGCAAGTCATTGTTTCGTATTGCTAAAAAAAAAAAAAAAAAGTTTGTCCAGCGTAAACGAGTGTGCAATCCTGGAGGAACGCTGACGCTTATAGAAAAATTTTATACACACAGTGAAACGTATGAATGGTGACGAGTATGTACTGTGTCTGGTGAGTTGGTTGACTGACTTAAGACTAGTGGTTCAGGAGGGTCCCAAGTGTCCTCGTAAGGTTTTTGGTGAACTGTTCTAGTGTTGTGACTCTTTATTCTCCATTAAATAAAAGTTTGTTCCTTAACATGTATGTCTTTTCCACACTGAAGAGATGGCTTATGATTGAAGGTCGAGGGAAAGGGGAGGGGTGCATTGAATCTGATGAAGGGTTCTTGATCCGAGAAAGTGGAACTCCCCTCTCCCCGTCCATTCCCGGGGGCCTAAGCGATTTACAACCTATCAATAAATAAAATAATATATTATTATTATTATTATCATCCTTTTAAAATGTTTTCGGTGTTACGAAGCCCATGAACGTGGTACGTTATTTTAGTTTTTTACTAAGCGTTACAATAAGCTTTATATCCTAAGCTGGTCAGTTCATGAATGCACCTCATTATTCTTACAAATGTAACAGTCCAGCACATTTTTTAAAGCAACTTGAAACATTTGCTTAACTAGGCCTTCCTCTACGAAGTTTGGTCACATTTACGTGGTGTGGGAGACCTCCTTAGTTAACATGAGGGTTTAATCCTGTCATTAGCTTGCAGTGTCTCTTGAGTTGGTGGTAATTTATGACCCCTGAATAGATCTTCCAACCTAAACGGTGGGCAAAACATCTAAGAAATTCCTAAGTGCTGCATACGTGTGTGTTTTACTGTTTAGAGCGTGCGTGGGATATCAACGTTCCAAGGGACAGTGTTTCTATCTCACGCTATCAAACCTAATGTGCCCGTTTATAATATAGTTATTAGTTAATTATACTTAAATGTCATCATTGCACATTAACCTAAGCAAATCTAACCTTTAATTACAAATATTAAGTTTCTCTTGAGGCATGCAACAACGCCTTCTTATTTGCAGGGAGTGTTCGATCCTACCGACTTAGTGCTATTTTATTATTTAGATCAGTTAAATAATTTATATTATTCATTTGCAATATCTGTCGACAAACTGATGTTCCTTTTTCTAGCTTTGATTTTTATCAGATATAAAACTATTTTTTCGAGTTTTTTCTGTTTGATATTTTTATCATTTTGATATTATTTGATATTTTTATCACTTTGCTTAATATCCTCCGCAGTTATAATTGCCTTCCATTTGTATGCAGTAAGAGTATGTCTCGTCTCACTGTACACCGTTGAAGACTATGTTCAGGGCTCTCTATCTTTGTAAGGAAGATTCCTGACAGATTAATCTTGTTGTCTGTTTCTCTCTTTGTTTTCTAACGCATTTTTATCTATTCTGTAATACGGAGATCAGAATTGCACATCATAATCCAAATACGTCCTTATCATTGATGGATATCGTTGTATAATTTCGGAGACTTCGTCATTCATACTTCTAGTTATAAAAGCAGTTTGTCGTACTGTGAGTACTTATGCAGTGTTGCCTTAATTTCGGATTTATTTTAAATCAAAACGACCATATGCTTTTACCTTTTATGATCAGACTCTACATTATTTGGTATAGTGATTTCAGTACTTTCCTATATTTAGAGTAGGCTCTTACATGCGTCCACTTTGAACAGCGTCTGCCGGTTTTTCGACAAAACAACTGACTTTACTGAAGCCTCCTGAATCTTCAGTTCATTGGCCGGCCACTTTTTTGTGTTTATGGCAAAGTTACTTGTGTTACATATTTAGGCCTCTATTGTAAATTACAAACAAGACACCAAACACTGGCCCTGAGCTCAGGCAGATGGGACTGTAATTCGAATCTACGGCAGTACTGGCCAACAGTGGATTTCAGTTCGTTTAAAAATAGTTGTTTCTAACTAATTTTGGGACAGTGAATTAAAATCTAAACTTAGTATTGTTCCAACATGTTTCTTTTCTGTGAAATATACCTCGCGGTGAATGATTTTACCAAGACATTGCCATCATGGAGAAGATATATATATATATATATATATATATATATATATATATAATAATATATATATATATATGCAAGGAAATCGCGAGAGCAGGGGAAATATACACAAACACTGATCTCTGGCTGAAGGAGACTCGAACCTACGAACCTTAGGACAAGGTACGCAGTGCTTTACCAATCTACCCACACTGGACAATACCTTGGCGTGTAGCTTGCGTTACACGTTTGATCCAAGGCAGCCAGCTTTCAGGGAGAAGGCTTACAGCTTTTCATCTCATCCCCTGCATGCATCAGCCTTACTAGAGATTTTAACAATGCAAGGAATTCGCGAGAGCAGGTGAAATATACAGAAACACTGATCTCTGGCTGAAGGAGACTCGAACCTACGAACCTTAGGACAAGGTACGCAGTGCTTTACCAATCTACCCACACTGGACAATACCTTGGCGTGTAGCTTGCGCTACACGTTTGATCCAAGGCAGCCAGCTTTCAGGGAGAAGGCTTACAGCTTTTCATCTCATCCCCTGCATTCATCAGCCTTACTAGAGATTTTAACAATGCAAGGAATTCGCGAGAGCAGGCGAAATATACACAAACACTGATTTCTGGTTGTATATGTATATATATACATATACATATATTTATATTATATATATATATAATATATATATATATATATATATATATATATATATATATTATATATATATATATAATATATATATATATTATATATATATATATATATATATATATATATATATATATATATATATATATATATTATATATTCGATAGGTCAAATTTCACCAATATCTATTATTATATATATTAATAATATATATTATATAATATATATAATATGAAATATAAAGATTACGTTAAGGAAAATGAGTCTGTCATTGCATGCACCACACATCATATCTATTTATAATACCTCTGATTGGTAGGAAACATTTATCATGTGGTTCCTCAACCCTAATATCCAAAATACTGAACATAAGGTTTACAAAGCACCTTACGTTATAAAGTAAACCAGTTAAGATTCGTGATCAGCGCATCAGAGTTAGCTTAAAACAACTAAGTTGGTGTCTGATGTGAATAAATGTTAAATTTTGTTGGTTAGTGTATAACCTCTGTTTTGTAAATGGGTATTGTATTGCACTTCCAGCTTCCACATATACACTGAGAAGCCCGTCTGCAGTGATGCATTATTTAAAAACGCACAAAAATAACAAGTCTAGACCAGAAAACTTAAGTTTTAAAAACAGTTTTCTTTTCCGTCTGTGATCTTTGCTTAATTTTTTGAATCGCGATCTTTATAATTATTAATTTCCGGCATTTCACTTAATGATTTATATAAAACAAATAATTTTCAAAAACTTAATTTTCTTTTCTAATTGTTAGTAATTATTACTCATAGGAGATCGCTAAACGCACAGGAATCATACAGGGACTGGAAAAATAAGACTCTTGATCCAAGGAAGGGAGGTCAGGTATGTTTCCTTGGATCAAAGAATTGTACATGAGTCACATTTAAATACTTGTCTTTTTCCCTAACTTGTGTGCAATATATATATGGGAAAAGGTCTCAGGATTGGTTCTAGGTTCCTTGCAACTGTAAATTCCTATTTTGTCTGGCTTTTTTTTCCTCCCATCTTGACCATTCTGTTAAATTATATATATTTGTCCATTAAATGACCCAATTTTTGTTGTCTGTCACTACATCTCTTTTTAATCCAAGAGATTATTAATCTCTTGTTTATCCATTTAGGTTCATTTTTATTTTATCTATTTCTCTCTGGGAAAATGACATAAGTATTTTTATTTAAAATCAAAATACTTATGTAGTCAAAGACTATTTTTAAAAACGTCGTGGCAAAGTAAACAAGAACAGCCTGATTAATCAAATTTTAGAAAAAGCTATTACAAAATCTAGGAAATATTTCCTACTTATAATACAGTAGTACCTCGGTATACGTCCTTAATCCGTTCCAGGACCTTGAACTTATACCAAATAGGACGTATACCAAATGAATTTTCCCATAAGAAATATAGGAAAACGATTAATTCGTTCCCATTAAAAAAAATCCTACTGTTATTGGTATATTATACATTGATGGAGTTGTATAAAATAATTTAAACACTATTTAATACTAAAATATGTAATTTAAACAATGCTTAATACTAAAATACATAAATACAAAAGAATCAGATGAAATAAATGCAAATTTAACCAAACTTACTTTGCTGAAAAAGTCGAGCGCCTTCTAGGATACGCTGTTGCCGGCACACTGTTTTTCTGTTATCCAGATCAAAAGCAATTTTTCAACATGCTCTAATGTCTCTGATCTTTGTTTGATAATCGATTTCACCCCCTTCGCAACATTAGCCGATTTAATAACATCTTTGTTCTTCACAATCGTAGATATCGTTCTCGGCACACAATGTGCAGCAGCCATGTCCAGGATCCGCGTCACAACTTCATACCTTTCAACGATCTCTTTTTTTCACCTCCATGGTGATCTAACCATTTTCTTCGTTGCTTGGCTCTTCTCATTAACTTTCTTAGAACTCATGGTTAATGAATTTACTAAAAATTTATACGAAAAAACACAAAAATCACAGGAAAATTCAGAGAGTTGGTGCGCAGGTTATTCACTGACTGGTAGCAACGCGCGTACTGACGCTAGCGGGCACCCATGTGACTGTAAACATAAAATTCCTAATAATTCCTAAGAATTAGCATTAGTCTGCTCGAAATACCTAGGCATGCTAGTGACCTTCTTTGTAATTAATATTTTTTAACATGTAAACCACACATTATAAGCTTTACAAGGAAATAAAGATTTTCATTTGATTTTGATAGAAGCTCTAGCACGCGAGTCGTATTCCAAACTAAGGTTGTATACCAAGAAAAAATTTTCGCGTCCAACCAGGACATATACCAAGTTGGACGCATTGCAAGGCGGACGTCTAACGAGGTACCACTACTTTATTGTATGCAGACTACAGGGTACTGAACGTGTAAGATACAGCACGTGTAAGATAAAATAATTAGGAACTTAATCAAACTGGAAGGACTCTCAGTTTTGCTTACAGGAATCTGAAACCTTGGCAGAAGTACATAGATGTTCGCAATAAAGGTAACAGAGTGGTTAGATTTTTATCGGGAAGCGTTTATAACAGGAGCCACAAGGTTGCATAGCGCTACTAAATACATCGTTCTTAAGAGTTTAAATATATACTTTTGAAAGGAAACTAGGTTAAAATAACGGGAGAATAATTATGCTGCAAATACAACAGGAATACACCAAATATTTTTCTCTTTTCCTCTCTGGTTCATCTGTATAAATGTTAGCTACGCTTGGATAAAAACAGAAGTGTTTTGAATAAGAATACTTTTTTAAATAACAAAAAAAGGCACAATACCGTAGCTGGAACGATACACAAATCGGACCGAAACGTCGTCGTAAGCTCCTCTCTTCTATGTGCGGGTTATTTGTGTAAAAATGCTTTTTCTCGGATTATTAACCTCAGAATGTTCATAATCTGGGATAACCCAAGAAAGTCTATCATTGCTGTTTATTTGCACTAGGGGCCCCTTGATCTAGCGTCCACAACAACCGGCAGACTTGAAGCTTTACCAGACTCCTCCAGCCCAAACTGGCTCATCCCTCAGTGTTACGAAATCCACACTCAGCCCTAAATAAAAGATGGGTGCTATGTCTCTCCCTCTTCTCAGACATACGTTGTGTAGCTTTTATTTTACAAGATGCTTCAGCATCTCCAGATCTTGACGTCGTAGGAAACACAGTTATTGAAAGATGATGTGGTGAGTTAACTGTCAACTATACCTGTCTTTTTCATTACCAGTACCCTTTGCCTAGTAATTCAGTGTGCCAAGCATGTTTGTATTTGTCACTGTCTATGACTGTGTTTGTGTATGTGCCTGTGTCTATATCTGTCTGTGTATGAGTCAGTTTGTCTTTGTATTGGTCTTCATCTGTTTGTAGCAGTCCATGACTGCACAACATTGCAATTTCCCTGTCACTTTCACTTTCATCGTTAAACTGCCTTTTTTTTTGTCAATAGGACTCTCTGTGGGTGTCTCTCTTTGTCTCTGTCTCTCTCTCTCTCTCTTTCTCACTCTCTCTGTCTCTCTACAGAGGTGCATAGAGGAACAGGTACAGAGGGAGTAGAAAGATAGAGAAAGGTGTAAACAGGTGCAGAGAGAGAGAGAGGTAGCGAGAAGGCAGAAGTCTCAAGAGAGAGAGAGAGAGAAAAAAAAAGAGAGGTAAGGAAAGAGCAGAAGACTTAAGAAGAGAGGAGAGAGAGAGAGAGAGAGAGGAGAGAGAGAAGAGAGAGAGAGGAGAGAGAGAGAGAGAGAGAGAGAGAGAGAGAGAGGTGAAACAAAGAAACCAGAAGTAAATCAATCATGAGGCTGAAAAAAAAAAACAAGTGGCAGTAAAGTACAGAACAAGACGAGTAATAAAGAGAGACTTGGGGGGGGTAGGGAATACCAACAACTGTTTAAATGTGACTTTTTTCCGAAACTTCTTAAATCATCAACATAGAGCAGAACTTCCCATCCCCCCATCCTCCTTAGGTTACCTCCCGGACACTGCTGATGTATCCATTTTTTTTTCTAAATAAAAAAAGCAAAATAATTGTTTGCCCCTCCCCGTGTACACAGACAATACCAGGTCGAGTTTCCTTAGCTAATTCTACTTCAGAATAATTACGCCTGTCCTAATCGACGTTTGCCGTAATTGCGGGTAATCATCGTAACTATTGAGGGGAAAACTCTTGAAAAACAACTAAGAGGAAGAAGTTTGTCGTAGACACGCCGCGTCTGTCATCACATTTATGCCTTGTTGATGGTTGTATGAGTGCTGTGGGATATGTAATGGTTGTTTGTCACGATGTTTTTGCTGGGGGGGGGGATAGAGAAAGAGTAGTGTCAGCATGCACTTTTGCTGCTCCAGCTCAGTGTGCATCAGTATCAAGCCCGTCTTCTCAACTGCAGACATCATGGCAGTTTTGTAACAACAGTCAAGTGGGTACCTGTTGAAG